GGAATGAGGATTCCACCTTTCTATATGTACCAAGATGAAGGGTTGGGGAAATGTAGAAAAATAAAGCATTGGAAAACCCATCTTCACACCCCCAGTAGAATGTCATTTGTTTGAAGCTTTAAAATGATATAATAATAAATCTCAAGGTCATAGAAACCCATAGCTTTATAGTAAGAGCAGAAATATAGTTGTTTGAGACCCCCGAAAGGATTAGAGCCAAAAACAAATGTCAAAAGAAAGGATCTCATGGTCCTTACGCTTCAGACAATTAAGCCTGTGGAAAAGAGAGTAGACACACAATCCAGTTCTACAAAATCATAGAAAATCACACTAGGGTGAATGGAGTTCACCAAATCTAAAATAGTTGAACATGGAGGGGCTTTAATATGCTTTTAAAATAGGCATTGCAAGCATATTAAACAGTTTTCTGACAGTTCTCTCTATATTGGTAGCAACCCAAATTCATTTTTCATATGATTTCTAGTTGTAGCAATAGGGGTTACATTTCTGATTCCATAAGAAGTAGAGAAAGCCATCTTTATTACCCTTTGAGAGGAACAGAATTGGATCATGTCTCTTTTCAAAAGACCAATGGTTTGAAGCAAAAACATTTTGAAATAGAGAAACTGGTAAATACAGTTATTTTGGAATCATCAAAAAACAGGATACATTTCTGCTGTGATCAATTTTCTCAGTTCCTTTCTTTTTTTATGGCAAAACTAATCTGATCAGTTCTTTTTTTACTTTTCTAACTTAACTTGCTATCTGATTTCCCAGTGGTAGATTTATTGACAGATTTAGCAATATAAATACAAAGAGTTATACTGAAATAGAATCTCTAAATACTTAATAACTAAGAATGTACATGTTTTTTTTTAAAAAAAAAACCAACAAAAAACTAGTGTGAGGTTATCCTCTTATGTAATAAGGTAGATCCATGAAATAAAACATTGTTAGTTGATGGCTTTACTTGGCCAAAAACTTTTATTCATCCCTGAAAACACTTTAATTACAGTAAAGTATATAAGTATATAAATATCTCTACATAAATATTAATTTTTTTACTATATGTTTCTACAGCCACAAACAGAAATAATATCAACTCCCCTCTCAAAGTAAAGGGTAAGGTTCATTTAAAAATATTTTACAAATATTGACAACTGTACAAGTACCACTTTAGTGAGATAGTGAGTTTTTAGTTCTGAAGGCCACATCTCTTTTTATCAACAGTCTTTTTTCTTTGGTTAGCAACTGGATTTCAAAACACAGAAGCTCTATTAAAAGTGTCTAACCTCAAAGTTCAGTTTAGGTCTTTTAAATTTTTTCTATTACAAATTTCAGCACCTTAAAGAAAGACTGGTAATTTTATTGCATTAATTATTTCTGTATTGTTGGTGAGAAAATGTAAAAAGCCATTTAAAAGGAGAAAATAGTTTGTGGATAACCGATTTCTTTAGCGATGGGAAAGAGCCCTTAAGGAAATGTGTATTTAGGAACCTCATTTAGTTCATGGCCAATTTGCCTCTCATCTGTTCGTATATGTTTGAAGGAAACAGCGTTCATGGAATTATACAGTCAGCCCATTAGTGAGTACTGTTCCTGCCTTTGGTACAGTGCAAAGGCCTCTGCAAGTGGACTCACAATGTCTCAAGTCGGCCACACACTCTCCACATCACTTAAGCCACTTAAGAAAGTCCCTTAGCCTCTGAACATCCGTTTTCATTTGTAAAACAGAGATAATAGTGCTTTACTTGTAAGTCTGTTACTAGAAATGTGACACAACATATAGGAAAAGGCTTTGTAAACTAGAAACTACTCTACAAAATACATTACAGTATTTATCATGCGCTCTAAGATTCCCATAACAGATTGTACAAAAAATAGTTTAATAAGTATTCTGTGTACTTGTTCCCTTTTCACGTGCATGTGTGCTAGATCCTTTATTAGATCATAAGCTCCATAAAGGCCCAGTGAGCATAGCACATACCCTCTTTCCACATTGTTCTCTGGATTACATGTAACTAATGGACAGTCAAAAGGTTTTATTAAGAGGCACTCTCTTCTTCCTCAGTTCCAATAACAAGCAAATAGTCACTATTGTCAAAAGTCTCTTTTCTTATGGTAGGTGAAATAAGCCAGTTAGAGAAAGACAAATATCACATGATCTCACTTATATGTGGAATCTAAGGAACAAAATAAATTGACAAACAAGATAGGACCACAGACATGGAAGCATGAAACAGGCTGACAGATCTCTGAGGGAAGGTGGGAAGGAGGGCGGGAAGAGATTAACCATAGAACTTAAAAGCATATATGCACAGCCCATGGACACAGACAATAGACAGGTGAAGGCCTGGGGTGGGCGGGAGATAGTTAGATGGGGGGGCAAAGGGGGAAATATGGGGGACATTTGTAATACTCTCAACAATAAAATAAAAAAATGTTAAAGTCTCTTTTCATCTATTCTATGTCTAAACCTCCCTATTGTAATCCATGCCAATTTCCACATATTCTATCCTGTGAAGTCAGGAGGAAATAGCAGGTCAGCATTGACTTAATGAAAGCCCTTGTCATTGTTACCAAACTCTCTTCAGTTGCAAACCAGAATCCCTGGTTTTCAACCTAAATCTGCCCCTCCTGCAATCCAAAACAAGCAGAGTTAACTGCATCCGAGGCCCCAGGAAGAAAGGAGGAGTGCCTGCTGGCTCACGAAAGACTCCTGGAGCCAAGGAGATACCGAGGAAAGTCTACCCGTGCCTGGGCAACCAAGAGGAAGGAATACAGTACATCAACATAAAATGGCTAGAGAAAATATGGACAGAGACGAAAAGGAGAGGCTGAAGACACCAGAACCAAAAGAAAAGTGAAAGTACAGTGTTCCGAAGGCTCTGATATTCCCTTAGAAGACTGATGAGATGCTCTGGTCCACCCCTACGCTTAACAAAACGTCTGTATTTAACGGGTAAGTTGGCATTGGCTCCTAATAAAACGCTTTAAAACAGCTTAAGGGATGGTGAGGAAGGGATGGCTACCTCTCAGCCTCCCTCGTTGGACCCTCTCAATGTGCCTACCTGATCTGCCCTCGGCTCAAAGTAATTAATTCTGTATCCTTCTAATGAGGTTTTTAATAAGCGGGCCCAGTTCAACGCACCTTTCAGGCTTAAAGAGGAATATGTTTAGTGTAAGCCACCTCTCCCAGGCTTTGCCCTTACGACGTGGCTTTCATTAAAGAGCCCCAGGAGAGCTCAGCAGTCCTCAGGCTCGGGGTAAACACTTGCGCCCGCAGCGGGCTCCGGCGCGCCCTGCGTTTCAGCACCGCCGCCTCTGGATAGCGCCCCGCTGGCCGCCCGGGTCGGGCCTCCCACGGTCGCGCATCCATCCCCAGCCCACTCGGTCTCCTCTTCTCCTTTCTCTCAGTGCCAGAAACAAAAAGCAACCCCAACTTCTAACCTCTCCTCGAAGCCTGCTCCCGCGCCCCCCCTCAGGGTCTCCAAGCGCACGCCCGCGCGCCTCCGGGTCCTCCCGGAGCAGCAGCAAAGCCCAGCAAAGCGGCGTGGCTTTACCCACCCGTGCCAGGAGATCTCCGACAGGCGTCGGCCACCTTTCCCTTGCCCCTGCGAATCCCAAACCAGCAGCCAAGAGCCCCCGCTCGCTCCCTCTCTCTCCAAGCTCCAAAGCCTCCAAGATACGAGCGGCTCGAGGATGCGCTTTCCCCGCCCCAAATCGTGTGCGCGTGCACACGCACTCACACCACACACACACACACACACACACACACACGCTCCTAGACACACCATCTCACGCCGCAAACCTACCGGATGCCATCGCCTCCCTGCAAAGAGCCTCAGCCAACTTGGGTGGTGATCCATCTACACCGGCTCCCGAAGGGTCGCCCTCGGCGGCCGCCCCGGGCCCGCTCCCGGGCAGCGAGTCCCCGCAGCCAAGCCCGAGCTGGCCAGAAACACCCACCCCATTCATTCAGCCATCCACCCCCCGCGGGGCAGACCGGGGTGCACCACCCTCAAACATTTCACCCCCGGGCCGCCCCAGCCATCACCCAGCCCCTAAATGAACGTTCCAGGTGCGTGGTGAGTGTGTGTCGGCGTCTCCGATGCACAGACATCGTTTAACTCCTTCGCGCTTCCCACCCAGCCTGGACAAACAGCGCCTTGTCTCCAAACCCGTCTCCTCTCCTCTCCGCGCCCGCATCCGGATCCTCACCAGCCAAGTGGCCGAACCACCGCACAGCCGCACCCAAGTTCTCCAACCGCCGCCCCCCCTGCGACCCAAACCGACGCTCACTTTCGCCCCTTCCCCTCCCCCACGCCTCGGCCCCCGCGCGAGCCGGGTCTGCGCCCAGCCAGGGACGCCTCGAAAGCGCAGTCTGCGTCCGCTCGGGAAGCCCGGGAAGCAGCGGCTGCCCCCCGCCCCCCGCGGCGGG